GAGGCGGAGGCGGAGGAGGCGGAGGAGGAGGAGGAGGAGGAGGAGGAGGAGGAGGAGGAGGAGGAGGAGGAGGAGGAGGAGGAGGGCAGGGCTCCGCCGCGCCCGTGGTGCCGCGGTCGGCGTCGCCGATTTCGGCAGGATCCTGGGACTCGGAGGGGCCGGAACCCCCGCGTTCCCCGCTCCCCGCCCCTCCGAGCGCATCGCGCCCGCGTCGAGCGCGCATCCTCCCGCGCATTCACGGCGCCGCAGGAGCGCGCGAGCAGGCGGGTCGCCGCAGCGCGCCGGCTCGAGCCGCTCGGGCCGGGTGGCCGCCAGGTGGCCGCCAGGCGGGCCGACGTTCCCAGGCCTCTGGCGGAGTGAGCTTCTATCGGAGACGCCTGCGGCGACTCAGCGCCGTCCCTCTACAGCAGGAAAATTAAAAGATAGTCAGACATCTAGTCCAGGGATGATTTTTTGATTAGCTTTGGTTTTTTGCGTATTTTTTATTTTTCGTCCAAGATGCGCCTGTAGGAAGACACGCCCGACCTAACCGTGCCATTTGGAAGCGCCTGGATGCCCGAACGTTGCGGCAAGAGCTCGGCCAAGCCATCGGGCGACGTGTTCCCCCAGCCGTTGTGGAAACGCTTCGGGAACGCATGGGGGAGGAAGAAGAAGAGGAGGCGAGGAAGGATAATGGAGGAGGAGGAGGAGGACCAGTGTAAACCCAAGACCCATCGACGATGTTGCAATCAACCTTCCCTTCAAGTTCCCTCTCCATAGGCTCCCGTAATGATTTGCCATCTTCACTGCGGAAAGAACCCCGTTGGTAGACAACCGTTTGAAAATCCTCAGCCGTGCCAAACCACCATTCCTGGGACTCCAGCGCCGCGAATCAACGCCACTGTTGCGACCTGACCATCCTAAACCGTGCCAGAACACCATCTGGGATGCCAACACCGCGAATCAACGTGACTGTCGCGCCCTGACAATCGTAATTCGTGCCGAACTACCATTTTGGGACATCAGCAATCAGTATCCTCGATACTTCTGTAAACTGTGAAGACGAATGTGCGCGGCGCTAAGGCGAGAACCACAATTTTATATGGAGCCGCCCTCCATCCGTGAAGCTCCAGCGAACTTTAAGACAAATGAGCGCGGTGCTAAGGCGAGAGCCAGATCTTGTGAACGTGGCCCACCTTCCATCCTTGAAGCTCTTGGACAATTTCTTGACGAACGTGCGCGGCGCTTAGGCGAGAGTCATACTTGGAAAACGTTCTGCCCTCCATCCACGGAACTTTTGCACTTTTTCGCGACGAATGAGCGCGGCGCTTAAGCGAGCGCCGCATTTCGAAATCGGCCTGCCCTGACTCCGTGCATGTGCTGCAAATTTCAAGCTTCAGGATTTTTCATGGTGAGGGAGTCCCAGGCGAAACTCCCAGCCCGCCCTACCGACGTGGCTCGGGGTGCGACAGGGAGGAGGTACCCTTACGAAGAGGGATGGAGGAGGAGGAGGAGGAGGAGGAGGAGGAGGAGGAGGAAGAGGAGGAGGAGGAAGAGGAGGATGAGGAGGAGGAGGAGGAGGATAAAGAGGAGCAGCATGAGGAGGACGAGGCCTCTTGGGAGCCTCTTGGAGCACTCTTGTGGCCTCCTGGGATCTTCATGGGTGCTTCTTGGAGGCCTCTTGGGGGCTTCCTTGGGCCTCTTGGGGGTTTTGGAGGCTCCTTGGGAGGCTCTTTGGCCGCCTGAGGGCGTGCCTGTCCCGTCTGATACCGTTGGGCGCCATCTTGCGGGTCTCTCTTGGCCAACTGGGGGCTCTCTTGGGGAGCTTCAGGACCGTCTTGGAGACCAATTTGGGTGCCTTGGAGGTCTCCTGGGCCGTCTTGGGGCCCTCTTGGAGCCGTCTAAGGGGCCTCCTGGGCTGTCATGGCAGTCTCGGAGGCCTCTTGAGCGCTCTTGGGGCCATGTGGGTGGTCTCTGGGGTCGTCTTGGGCCGTCGGGACGTCGAACACGAGGAAACGCCAGAATCCTCCAAGAACCTGACGAACATAACTGGGTCTGGCCCTTTCGGGCCTGACTGGAGGTCCTCTTTGAGGCTTACTGAGCCGTCTTGGATGCTTTTTGGGCAGTGTTGGGCGAGCCTGAGGCAATCTTGGCCCATCTTGGGGGCATCTCGGCCCGTCTTGGGGGCATCTTGGGACCGTTATGCAGGCCATCTAGGCCGTCTTGGAGGCATCTCGGCGGCCATCTTGGCTGGCTTGGGGCGATCGGTTGTGCACGTTGAGGTCGTTACGCGTCTCTCCAGGTGGTCGGCGGGTTGGGCCGACGGCCCACCAGGAGCCTGTCGAAAGGAGCAGAAACCAGCTAACATCTGGCACGCCGTGCACTCCTAAGGCACGCCAACCTGGGTCGGCGGATCGAAGATGCCTACGGCGAATCACCGCCGCCCCCCGCCTTCTAGAACCGCCCATGTGGCCGAGCGTTGGTGTTGCCGCAGTGGGCAACGCAATGCGCCGCCCCCCCCCCTCTCTGCCAACGTATCGGGCCAGGTGTTCCCCCAACCGTTGTGGAAACCCTTCGGGGAACACTTGGGGGAGGATAGCGGGGAAGATTAAGAGAATGCGGCAGAGGAGGATGAGGAGGAGGAGGAGGAGGAGGACGAGGACGAGGACGAGGACGAGGAGGAGGAGGAGGAGGAGGAGGAGGAGGAGGAGGAGGAGGAGGAGGGGGCATCTTGGGAGCCTCTGGGGACACTCTTGGGGCCTCCTGGGGGCTTCCTGGGAGCCTCTTGGATCGTTTGGCCGTCTTGGTGGGCTCTTTGGCCGTTTTGGGGCTTCTCGGGTGCCTCTTTGGCTGTTTTGGTGGGCTCCTGGCCCGTCTGACGACGTCGGGAGCCGTCTTGGGGGCCTCTCTGGGCCGTCTTGTGGCCCTCTTAGGGTGCTCCAGGGCCGTCTTGGAGGCCATCTTGGGCGCCTTGGTGGCTCTTGGGCCGTCTTGGGGGAATCTTTTTGGCTCCGTCTTGGGGCCTCTTGGGCCGTTCTGGGGCCATATTGGAGACCTCTTGGGCGATCCTGGGGGGCTCTTGGGAGGTCTCGGGCCGTCGGAAGGCCGACGAGAAGCAAATGTCAAGATCCTTCAAACACCTATGGCACATCACTGATTTTGGCCTCTTCGGGCCTTCCTGGATGACCTCTTGGAGGCCTCTTGGGCCGTATTGGCAGCATCTTGGGGGCCTCTTGGGTTGTCTTGGTGGGCTCCTGGCCCGTATGACGACGTCGGGAGCCGTCTTGGGGGCCTCTCTGGGAAGTCTTGTGGCCCTCTTGGGGTGCTCCAGGGCCGTCTTGGTGACCTCCTGGGTCGTCTTGGGGGCCTCTTGGGGCCGTCTTGGGGTCCTCTTGGGCCGTTCTGGGGCCATACTGGACACCTTTTGAGCGAGCTTTTGGGGGCTCTTGGACCGTCTCGGGCCGTCGGAAGGCCGAAGAGAAGCAAATGTCAAGATCCTTCAAAAACCAATGGAACATCAATGCTTTTGGCCTCTTCGAGCCTTCCTGGAGGCCCTCTTGGAGGCGGAGGCCTCTTGGGCCGTCTTGGGCCAGCTTCGAGACTACTTCGAGCCCACTTCGGCCATCTTGCTGGGCTCCTGGCCCGTCTGGCGCCGTCGGAAGCCGTCTTGGGGGCCTCTCTGGGCCGACTTGTGGCCCTCTTGGGGTGCTCAGGGCCGTCTTAGAGGCCATCTTGGGCGTCTTGGAGGCCTCTTGGGCTGTCTTGGGGCCCTCTTGGGGCCGTCTTGAGGGCCTCTTGGGTAGTCCTGAGGCCATCCTGGAGGCCTCTTGGGTGCTCTGGGGGCGATCCTGGGGGCATCTTGGGCCGTCTGGGGCCGTCGGAAGGCTGAAAAGGAGCAAATACGAGAATCCTGCACAAACCTAAGGAACATTAATGATTTTAGCCTCTTCGGGCCCTCCTGGAGGACCTCTCGGAGGCCTCTTGGACCGTCTTGGAGGCCTCTTGGGAACCTCTTGGGCAGTCTTGGGCCGTCTTGGAGGCATCTCGGACCGTCTTGGGCCGACGGAAAGCCCCAAAGGCGCCAATGCCAAAATCCTTCGAAAACCTAACGCAAATCAATTACTTTTTGCCGCTTCGGGCCTTCCTGCAGGACCGTTTGGAGGCCTCTTGGGCCGTGTTGGCGGCCTCTTGGGGGCCTCTTGGGCCGTCTTGAACCATCTTGAGGCTATCTTAGGCTGTCTTGGAGGCATCTTGGGCCATCTTGGAGGCATCTTGGGGCCATCTGAGCCGTCTTGGAGGCCATCTTGGCCGTCTTGGAGGCGTCTTGGAGGCCATCTTGGGCCGTCTTGGAGCCGCCTGGAGCAGGAAAAACCCTTCGCAACCACCTCTGGGCAATCTGGAAGATCTTTCCGGGTGGCCGGCTGGACGGGCCGAAGCCCCCGGGGGAGTTCTTTTGGAAAAAGAACCAAATCCAAAACCGAAAGGGTCTAGCACGCCGGGCACCCCTGCGATGCATCGACAGGGGGCGGCGGATGTAGTGGCCTTCGGCCCGTCCCGCCACCGTGCCGTGGTTTTAGGTCAGAGGCCTCTTGTCGAAGAAGAGACTCGGCATCACTATAAACTTCCGCAGCTCCGCGCGGATTTCTTGGATCGGCCCTGCAGCCTCCTGGCGGCGCCTCCAGCACTGCCCCTGGCGCGCTCCGCGCGCCAGGGGGAGGGGTTGAGCGCCGATCCAAGCAATCCGCGCGGAGCTCCGAAAGCTGATGTTCATGCAGTTGTGTGGTCTTTCTTGGCCCGTCGGACCTGGGGACACTCACACTCATGCCTCCCAGAAACTCATGCCTCCCAGGCACGGTAGCGGGCTCGGTTGCAGGGTTCTCTCGGCGGTTCCGGCCTCCAGGGTCCGCGATAAAGGAGTGCCCCCCCTCGCTGATACGTTAAGAAAGGGCCGGGGTTCCAGGGCACACGGATGGAGAGACCACGACGTCGGACGGCTGGGTCCCACTGTCGCGCAGAGTCGCATGGAGGAGTTCGCAGACTACTACATCACAGACTATGCTTCGCCTCCCGCATTCTTCGAGCTGTCGGAGCAGGAGCAGCAGGAAGTGCTGGCGGCCCACGAGGACGAGAGAGTGTCCTGGAGGTTGGAAGTGAACTGCAGTGCGTTGCACGCCGCAGGCTTCAAGCTCGATCACGGCCACGGCACGCCCCTTCCATATCGTGATGTGGACGTGTTCGACTGGCACAGCATCCGAGCTGCGACAGGACTGGCGGTCGAGGCGATCGGCCTGTTCGTCTTCAACGGCCCGAACCACGGCACTTATGGAAGAAAAGGGCAGAGCGCAAACTGCCCGCAGTACCACAACAGCACCTCCCACTTCATGGTGAACGCATTCAATGCAGGGCCCCCTTGGCGGGGACACTGGTAAACCAGGCCCGTGGCGCGCCCGAGACACCTGATGCCGTGGGTCGAGGCTCGCTCCAGTATTCGTTGTATCGAAGACGCCCGCGGCGAGTCACAGCCGCCCCTCGTCTTTTTGGAAGCGCCCGTGTGGCCGAACGTTGTGTCCATGGCTCGGCCGAGCAATCGGACGATCTGTTCCCCCAGCCGTTGTGGAAACCCTTGGGGTAGCACGTAGGGGAGTCCATAATAATAATAATGGTACGAATGATAATCCATATAATAATAGCAACACTAGGAAGGTACACTAACACGTCTGATGCGTAAAAGTCATACAACATGCAGAATAAGATGGCTAATGCGTATACTATGAATGAGCAGCAGAATAATAAGTCTACGACTGCTAATAAGACGATCACTTATACTAGTGATATGAATCATAGGAAGAGCATTACTACTAGCACTAACATTAACACTCGTGAACATAACACCAATAGTAAGACAACGAAGCAGAGTGGAAGGAAACACGGGGAGGAAGGAGGCTTCTCGGGAGCCTCTTGGGGCATTCTTGGGGTCTCCTGGGAGCTTCCTGGGGGCCTCTTGGAGGCCTCCTCGGGCCTCTTGGGGGCATTTGGGGGCTTCTTCTTGGGGGCCTCTTTGGCCGTCTTGGGGCGTTCGTGGCACATTTGACGCAGTCGGAAGCCGTCTTGGGGGCCTCTCTGGGCCGTCTTTGGGCCTTCTCAGGGCGCTTCTGGGCCGTCTTGGAGGCCATCTTGGGCGTCCTGGAGGCCTCTCGGGCCGTCGTGGGGCCCTCTTGGGCCGTCTTGGGCCACTTGGGCCGTTATAGGGGCCACCTTGGAGGCCTCTCGAGCGCTCTGGGGCCGATAATGGGGGCTTCTTGGGCCGTCTTAAAACCTTTTCGGGCCCTCCTGGAGGCTCTTTTGGAGGCCTCTTGGGCCGTCTTGGAGGCCTCTTGGAGGCCTCTTGGAGTCATCTTGGGCCGTCTTGGAGGCTTCTTGGGCTGGCTTGGAGGCATCTGGGACCCTCTTGGGCCGTCTTGGAAGCCATCTTGGACCATCTTGGGCGAACTTGGTGGCCATCTTGGGCCATCTTGGGTATTTTTTTCTACGGATTGTGCGGCCTTCTGGGTGGCCGGCGCGCTGGGCCGAAGCCCCAGGGGGAGACACGGTAGGGTCTAGCACGCCAGGCACCCCTGTGGCAAGACCACAGAGCAGCGGATCGAAGACGCCTACGGCGAATCACCGCCGCCCCCTGCCTTCTAGAATCGCCCATGTGGCCGAGCGTTGTGGCAAGAGCTCTGTCAAGCTATCGGGCCATGTGTTTCCCCAGCCGTTTTGGAAACCATTCGGGGAACACTTGGGGGAGGATGGCGGGGAAGATCAGGAGGAGGCGGAGGAGGAGGAGGAGGAGGAGGAGGAGGAGAAGGAGGAGAAGAAGAAGGAGGAGGAGGAGGAGGTGGAGGAGGAGGAGGAGGAGGCGGTGGTGGTGGAGGAGGAGGAGGAGGAGGAGGATGCGGGCATCCCGAAGCCTCTGGGGACTCTTGGGGCCTCCTGGGAGCTTCCTGGGAGACTCTTGTAGCAACTTGGGGGCCCTCCTGGATGCCTCTTGGGGGCCTTCGTGGGCTTCTCGGGGGTCTCTTTGGCCGTCATGGTGGGCTCCTGGCCCGCCTGGTGCCGTCGGAAGCCGTCTTGGGGGCCTCTCTGGGCCGACTTGGGGCCCTCTTGGGGTGCTCCAGGGCTGTCTTGGAAGCTTGCTTGGGCGTCTCGGAGGCCTCTTGGGCCGTCTTGGGGCCCTCTTGGGGCCGTCTTGGGGGCCTCTCGGGCCGTTCTGGGGCCATCTTGGTGGCCTCTTGGGCGATCTTGGGGTGATTTTTTGGGGCTCTTGGGCCTTCTCGGGCCGTCGGTAGGCCGAAAAGAAGCAAATGCCAACATCCTTCAAACACCTAAGGAACATCACTGATTTGGGCCTCTTCGGGCCTTCCTGGAAGCCCTCTTGGAGGCCTCTTGGGCCGATCTTAGGGCCATCTTCAGCCGTCTTGGTGGGCTCCTGGCCCGTCTGACGCCGTCGGAAGCCGTTTGGGGGGACTCTCTGGGCCGACTTGGGGCCCTCTTGGAATGCTCCAGGTCCGTCTTGTAAGCTTGTTTGGGCGTCTTACAAGCCTCCTGGGCCGTCTTGGGGGCCTCTTGGGCCGTTCTGGGGCCATCTTGGAGGCCTCTTAGACGATCTTGGGGCGATCTTTGGGGGCTCTGGCCTTCTCGGGCCGTCGGTAGGCCGAAAAGGAGCAAATGCCAACATCCTTCAAAGACCAAGTGGACATCACTGATTTGGGCCTCTTCGGGCCTTCCTGGAGGCCCTCTTAGGGGGCGTCTCGGAATGCTCCAGGGCCGTTTGTAAGCTTGTTTGGGCGTCTTAGATGCCTCTTGGGCCGTCTTTGGGCCCGCTTGGGGCCATCTTGGGGGCCTCTTGGGCCATCTTGGGCCATCTTGGAGCCATCTTCGGCAGTCTTGGTGGGCTCCTGGCCCGTGTGGCGCCGTCGGAAGCCGTCTTGGGGGCCTCTCTGTGCCGACTTGGGACCCTCTTATGGGTGTTCCAGGGCTGTCTTGGAGGCCTTGCTTGGGCGTCTTGGAGGCCTCTTGGGCCGTATTGGGGCCCTCTTGGGGCAGTCTTGAGGGCCTCTTGGGTAGTCCTGAGGCCATCCTGGAGGCCTCTTGGGTGCTCTGGGGGCGATCCTGGGGGCATCTTGGGCCGTCTGGGGCCGTCGGAAGGCTGAAAAGGAGCAAATACGAGAATCCTGTACAAACCCAAGGACAATTCATGATTTTAGCCTCTTCGGGCCCTCCTGGAGGATCTCTCGGAGGCCTCTTGGACTGTCTTGGAGGCCTCTGGGGAACCTCTTGGGCAGTCTTGGGCCGTCTTGGAGGCTTCTTGGGCGGACTTGGAAGTATCTTGGACCCTCTTGGGCCGTCTTGGAGGCCACCTTGGCCGTCTTGGAGGCATCTCGGAGGCCATCTTGGGCCATCTTGCTTGAAGGCGACTGGGGCAACCACACGGGCATTTCGAGCACCCTTCTGGGTCCTTCCGGGTCTTTCCGGGTGACCGGCGGGACGGGCCAAAGCCCCAAGGAAGAGTTTTTCTTCCCCATATCCTAAGATGGGGTTCTTGTTATTACTTGGACGCCTCCTACTTCCTCTCCTCCTCCTCCTCCTCCTCCTCCTCCTCCTCCTCTCCTCCTCTACTCAGACTTGCTCATACCCAGACTTGCTCATACACAGACTGATGCACACTCAGACATTATCATACTCAGACCTACTCATACTCAGACTTACTCATACCCAGACGTACACATACACAGACTTACTCATACACAGGCTTACTCATACTCAGACTTACTCATACCCAGACGTACTCATACACAGACTTACTCATACTCAGACCCACACATACTCAGACCTTCTCATAGTCTGAGTTACTCAACGCACGGCAGATTGTTGGGATGTCTCAGGCGGGGCGCTGGTTTCAGCACTCCTAAGGGGAGCCGCCAGGGGGTATATCACGGGCCCGTTCGCGGCCAGTTTGTGGGGATGTCTCAGGCGGTTTGCTCGTTTTCATGCCCAACATCCTTGGCTTTCATAGTAGATTTTGATGTCTCAGGCGGGGCGCTGGTTTTAGCACCCCTAAGGGGAGCCGCCAAGGGAATATCACGGGCCCGTTCGCGGCCAGTTTGTGGGGATGTCTCAGGCGGTTTGCTCGTTTTCATGCCCAACATCCTTGGCTGTCATAGCAGATTGTGAGGATTTCTCAGGCGGGGCGCTGGTTTCAGCACCCCTAAGGGGAGCCGCCAGGGGGTATATCACGGGCCCGTTCGCGGCCAGTTTGTGGGGACGTCTCAGGCGGTTTGCTCGTTTTCATGCCCAACATCCTTGGCTTCCATAGCAGATTTTGAGGATGTCTCAGGCGGGGCGCTGGTTTCAGCACCCCTAAGGGGGAGGCGCCAGGGGGTATATCACGGGCCCGTTCGCGGCCAGTTTGTGGGGATGTCTCAGGCGGTTTGCTCGTTTCCATGCCCAACATCCTTGGCTTCCATCGCAGATTTTGAGGATGTCTCAGGCGGGGCGCTGGTTTCAGCACCCCTAAGGGGAGCCGCCAGGGGGTATATCACGGGCCCGTTCGCGGCCAGTTTGTGGGGACGTCTCAGGCGGTTTGCTCGTTTTCATGCCCAACATCCTTGGCTTTCATAGTAGATTTTGAGGATTTCTCAGGCGGGGCGCTGGTTTCAGCACCCCTAAGGGGAGCCGCCAGGGGGTATATCACGGGCCCGTTCGCGCCAGTTTGTGGGGACGCTCAGGCGGTTTGCTGTTTTCAGCAACATCCTTTCAAGCAGATTGTGAGGATGTCTCAGGCGGGGGCGCGGTTTCAGCACCCCTAAAGGGAGCCGCCAGGGGGTATGTTAGGGCCCGTTCGCGGCCACGGTTTGGGGATATGTCTCAGGCGGTTTGCTCGTTTTCGTGCTCAACATCCTTGGCTTTCATAGCAGATTGTGAGGATGTCTCAGGCGGGGCGCTGGTTTCAGCACCCCTAAAGGGAGCCGCCAGGGGGTATATCACGGGCCCGTTCGCGGCCAGTTTGTGGGGATGTCTCAGGCGGTTTGCTCGTTTTCATGCCCAACATCCTTGGCTTCTCATAGCAGATTTGAGGATGTCTCAGGCGGGGCGCTGGTTTCAGCACCCCTAAGGGGAGCCGCCAGGGGGTATATCACGGGCCCGTTCGCGGCCAGTTTGTGGGGATGTCTCAGGCGGTTTGCTCGTTTCCATGCCCAACATCCTTGGTTTTCATAACAGATTGTGAAGATGGAGGAGAGGGGAGGAGGAGGAGGAGGCAGGAGGAGGAGGAGAGAGGAGGAGGAGGAGGAGGAGGAGGAGGATTAGGAGGAGGAGGAGGAGGAGGAGGAGGAGGAAGGGAGGAGGAGGAAGTGGAGGAGGAGGAGGAGGAGGCGGAGGAGGAGTAAGAGTAAGAGGTGGAGGAGGAGGAGGAGGAGGAGGAGGAGGAGGAGGAGGTTGAGGAGGAGGAGGAGGAGGAGGAGGAGGAGTACGAGTAAGAGGTGGAGGGGGAGGAGATCTTCGCCGGGCCTGTCGCCAACGTGGACGGGCTATTATAGTCAAACGCTCATGAACAGACGCTCACTACGGCATAAGATAAAACATGAGATGCACATATGGGGGCTCCACGAAGTGAGTATATTTTGGAGCATGAACCAAAACCACAAAAACGGGAGCGTCTAGCACGTCGGGCACCCCTGTGACAAGCACAGGGGGCGGCGGATCTAATGGCTTTCGACCCATCCCGCCGCCGTGCTTGGGGTGTGGATCAGAGGTCTCAGGGACGGTCTCTTCGGAGCGCTCTCGGGGGCTCCGAAGAGACCGTCCCCGGCCAAAGGCCAAAGGCCGGGGAGCTTGCGGCAAGGCCAAAGGACGCCTACCGCATTTTCACTCTACACACGCGCTCTCGGGGGCCTCTTGGGGCAGTTTTGGGGCCGCTTGGGAGCCTCCTGGGGGCCCCTTGGAGGCCTCTTGGGGGCCTCTCGGCGGCCTCTTGGGGCCTCCTGGGGGCTGGGCCCCTCCGGGCTGAGGGTTCAAAATGTCCGTTCGGGTCCCCCATCGGGGTCCCCTCTTGGAGATGTCTTTGGGGCCTCTTGGACCGTCTTGGAATCCTCTTGGGCCATATTGGGGCCCTCTTAGGCCGGAGATCTCTGGGGCCGTCTTGGGGCTGTCCTGGGAGCCTCTTGGGCCGTCTTGGAGCGTTGGGAACTCGAACAGTCGAGTAAATCATTAACAAACCGTAGGAACATCAGTGAATTGTGCCTCTCGGGGTCCTCTTGGCAAGGCTCTTCGGGACTCTCGTGGGGCGTCTTGGAGGCCTCTTGGGCATTCTTCGGGCCGTCTTGGGCGTTTTGGTGGGATCTAGGCGCTTCTTTGGGCTCTCTTGGACCGTCTTGGGGTCCTCATGGGGCCCTCTTGGCCCGCCTTGGGGCCCTCTCCGGCTCCGAAAGAGTCACGCTGGGAGCCGCGCGACGGCCCGAGAGGCACGCGCCAGGCCCAAAGAGATGCTGCAATTCTGACGGTTCTTTAGGAGTGAGGACTGAGGCCTAGGAGATTAGGCCTAGGACCTGAGGGCCCCCCCCCGTTCCGTGCCCGGTGACACGGTGAGGGATCTCCAGGTGAAATTTTCAAAGTCCTGCCTAGAAATGTCCTGGCCTAGGGGTCCCTGATCAATTCCTTGCGCTCCTTCAGCAGCCGCTCGTCTGTCTTGATGGTGGCCGCAGCCAAATACGAGCCATCGATCCGGATGCGCGCCGACGGGCGTGGGTCCTCGGGGGTGTACAGAACCCGTACTCTGATACGTCGATTAGTGAATTGTCTGTTTTCGGTTCTCGAGAGGGCGCCGCGGCCGTCATTTTCCAGGCTTGCGCCCGCCAGGCTTGGGCCCGAGGTCGTTTTCACTAAACCACGTTTTACTAAAGGGGGCTTTGTCCATCCCCGAGGTTCGTGGCGTTGCCGGTGGCGGGCGGCGACTACTGGGGCCTGTGCAGCTCGCGGACCGTCCTCTGCCCGTTGCGCCAGCAGTCGTTCAGCCGCCGAGGCGGCGCCACATCCGCTGGGGCCTCGACGTGACTCCGCAGAGTTTTTGGTGGCGGAGGAGGAGGAGGAGGAGGAGGAGGAGGAGGAGGAGGAGGAGGAGG